GCCCAGCCAGGGCAGCTTTGGTCCCTCACTGTGAAGACCTTTGGCTCAGAGACTGAACTGATCTCTGTAGCCTGCTTCGGCTTGGGGTTTGATCTGTCAAGGCTAAAGAGGAACCTGATGGTAGAGCGGAAACTTCTAGCCCTTTCTAACTTACAGCACTGATCCGTTCCAGTGGCCTTGTCATGATAATACTCGTATATTTAGGAAGATTTCCCCACCTGTTAGCTGTAACACTCAGATCAGTCAAAAGGGGGCTCTTCATGAAAGATCTATTAGTTTTTTGAGCTACTGGAGCTTACTCTTCTAAATAGTGTGGGATATTAGTGTGGGGATTGCTAGTGGGAATTAGTAAAAAAGGCAATAATGGGGGTATGACTGAATCAGTAGCAGAATGTCTGTTTTTGTGTTGGGGGTCATGCCAAAGGTGGAAGCATTCTTCTGCAATTACGTAGCCATCAGGCCATTTGGGGCAGATTTCAGCACTCCAATTTAGAATCAAATCTTAAGTTCCTTGTCTCCCTTTTCATTTCAAACCAAAAAAAAATTTTTTAAATTAAATCATAAACACATAGATCATATATACATTTATACATTTATGGGGTACAATGTGCTGATTTCATATAGAATTAGGAACGCTTACATCACACTGGTTAATATATACCTCATCTTGTTTACTTGAGTATTGTGTTAAGATGTATATGCTAATAGATCCAACATGCACCCTTGCATTATGCACCCACCATAGGTGTGATCCCACCGTTCACCCTCCCTGAATCTGACATCCTCCATCCCCTCTCAATGCCCCCCTCCTCCCTCCTTCAACTTGGGCCATAGTTGTGATCTATTCTTCATATGAAAGTGTGAGTGATTGTAAATTGGTTTCATAGTAGTACTGAGTACATTGGATATTTTTTCTTCCATTCTTGAGATACTTTACTACCGTGTTTCCCCCCAAATAAGACCTACCCCCAAAATAAGCCCTAGCAGGATTTCTATATATTTGTTAAATATAAGCCTTAACCTGATAATAAGACCTAGTAATGGGTATGGCTATGCAGCATATGCATTTTGGTGCAGAGCAGTAAGGAAGACTATTATCTGCACAGCTCCTTTCTTCAAGCCATTCGCACTTTCGCAGGTGTATGTTTGGTAACCTCAGTGGCAGGCATCCTATTGCGCCTGTGTGAATGGCTAGGGGAAAGGAGTTCACGCATCACTAGCGCCAGCCCCACCAACAAGGTCGGCTCCCCCTGTCAGGTTCCAGAACAAGATGACTTAACTGTATTTGAATAAATGTAGATTGTTGTATTATACTTAGTAAAGATAAGACATCCCCTGAAAATAAGCCTTAGTGTGTCTTCTTGAGAAAAAATAAATATAAGACAGTGTCTTATTTTCAGGAAAACATGATAAGTAGGATATGTTCCAGCTCCATCCATGTAAACGTAAAAGAGGTAAAAGTCTCTATCTTTTTTAAGGCTGCATAATATTCCATGGTATATATATACTACAATTTATTAATCCATTCATGGGTCAGTGGGCACTTGGGCTTCTTCCATGACTTGGCTATTATGAATTGAGCTGCAATGAACAGTCTGGTGCAGATATCTTTGTTATGAAGTGATTTTTGGTCTTCTGGATATATACCTAGTAGAGGAATTGCAGGATCAAACGACAGGTCTACTTTTATTTTTTTTTATTTTTTATTTTTTTTTTAGTTTTTGGCCAGGGCTGGGTTTGAACCCACCACCTCCAGCATATGGGGCTGGCACCCTACCCCTTTGAGCCACAGGCACTGCCCAGGTCTACTTTTAGATCCCTGAGTATTCTCCATACTTCTTTCCAAAAGGGATGTATTAGCTTACACTCCTACCAGCAGTGCAGAAGTGTTTCCTTTTCTCCATATCCAC